GTCGCTTTGGATAAAAGCGTCTGCTAAATGACTAAATGTAAATTGATTGCACTATTCCAAAATTAAAATAATGTCAGGTATGATCAAATATACCTACTTGCAGTGTATTTACATTTAGAGGTTTTAAAGACTTTCTTAGAATTTTGTATTGCATAAACACATGTATTACTAATCTATGATTATATCTGTCTTTATTAATCTTCCATTCTTTAAAATAGTGAGCAAGACTCATGGACAAGAACACAAGTGAAATTAAGCGGGAAGACTGATCCTTTGTGGCATCATGTGGGTCTTCTAGTGGCTCAGATGGATGGACTGCATGCTGGGGCGGCATACTGGGCCAAAAGTAGACAGGAAAAGGTCAGGAAACCTGAAATGTGCATGCATCTGTTTAGATGTACTGTACATCTCATTCTGAGAGTTTGATAACACTCATATAGACATTTGAAAAGGCCTAAGTATCTCAAGTGAACTTTTTTATTTTATTTTATTCATTCATTGACAGTGATGCCTACATGTTTTAAATTTTGTGTTAATGAGTGAAACTCCACGCTTGCATTTCAACTCCCAGCCTCTGTCCATGTTTGCGGTTCAGTTCCTCAATGGTATTGGGGATTTGCTAGATTTAATCCCTGCTCTCAAAAGGCGTTCCAACTCTTCTTCTGACTCCTTCAGAATGCCAGGCATGAGTCACTGTTCTGCGCTCATCAAGGTTAGAGGTAAAATGATGCCTTCACCTCATGACTGTAATCACATATTCTGAATTGGGACCAAATGTAATAGGAATTTGCCAATAAAAACCCCATGTCAGGGGTTTTCAATAGCACTAATCTGAATATTTAGGGCTGCCTGTGATGGAAATGGCTCTGGCTTCATTCGCCAACAACTTTTTGTCATTTGTTTTTGCCCATTTTATCTGCAGATGTTACCTGGCTATGAGAATCTGTTGCTTGGTCACTCCAGCTGGTACAGCTACGCTGCAAGCATGAGAATCTACAAGCACTGGGACTTGAAAAATAAGCGTAATGGCACAAGCAGACTGTCCTTTAGCAGCTACCCTGGTATATATATAGGCAGATGTATGTCTTTTATAATTCAAACTAACAATAATTTTGTGCTATTAAATGGTTTCTCGCATCATTTCCAGGGATCTTGTCATCTTTGGATGATTTTTATTTGCTGGGAACAGGATTGCTTGTAACTCAAACCACAAACAACGTGTTCAACTCCTCTCTGTTTTCCCTGGTGACCCCAGAGGCTTTGCTTGCCTGGCAAAGGGTGCGTGTAGCACATGCGCTGGCCTGCACAGGGAAGCAATGGGCCCAAATATTTTCCCAGCACAATTCGGGTGAGACGGAGATGCACAAGGCAAATGTGGATCATTATATGCAAAAATTGTGTTCCGTATTTGCAGTGCTCTGTGGTGTCGTCTTTCAATAGTACAACCGAGTTGAAAGCATACAGTTCTCTAGCATGTGATTGCATGCTGTAGCATTACATTTCTCACCCTCAGTCCCACCCTCATGCTTTCAAAAAAAAAGAAGCATGCATTTTATTCTTTAGCTAGAACACAAAAGTAGATATTTGGGAGAATGTTTCAACTGATTTTGTCTTTATAATCACGGTCAATTGGGTCCAAAACAACACTAAAATATTTTTCAAAATATCTTCTTTTGTGTTTCACAGAATAAAGAAATGCGTACAAATTTTGATATTTAGTAATTTAGCAGACACTTTTATCCAAAGCGACTTACAA